ATCCCCACCTCATAAAAGAGTACTGGGACTACATTTCTAATTTTACATTAGAGTATGTGCTGAATATTAAAAAGCGTGTAGATGTTCTTCATATAGAAATATGCAAAATATCTTCCTTTTAAATATGACCCATTTCTTGAGTTAATTGGTTCTTATTTATATATTTTTTGAGCTCTAATCTTTGTTATTTCTCATATGTTAGTGCTCATTAAAAATTTCATTAGTGATCATTTTAGAGGGACTATGAAGTTTGGGACACTGTTCTTGCCTTCAAAATCGAATTTCAGGGTTGCTGTAGATCATTTTTTGGCTAACATTTTATGTGCTGGAATTGTTCAGATAACATATGTGAAGGACTCTAGCTTTTAAGCTTTTATTTTTAGTCATTTTAGGGAGTTCCACACTAGCAGTAATATTTCTCAAGAGTAAGAAGTTAGTTTGGCCTTGACTTTCTAGGGTAGCTTTTAATCGTCTGGGTTACTGATTTATCAACTGATGTACAGTGTGCCTAGGTGTGTTCAGGAGTCATCCACGTTCACTGGTAGAAATGGTTTATTTCTCTCCGTTAGTAGGGACATGCCCATTAAATATGTAAATATATAGATAAGTCCAAGGGTGCTTTATTCATTTTTAACATTTTAAAAACTTTTCTTGTAAAATGTAACATGTATAGAGTTAAACGCACAAATCCTAAGTAAACAATTTAATTTTCACATAGTGAACACAAAGATCCTGTATCAAGAACTAAAACATTACCTGTACCCCAGAGGCCCACATAATTTCCTCTTAAAAATATATCCTTTATATTATTTTCTCTAAGCTATCAACACTGGAAATACTTGAAAGGAGCTATTATTAATTTGTTTGAAAGGAGAGTGAACATAAATTGTTTCTGTTAATTTATATTAGTAGCACTTAGCACAATAACTGTCTAATAATGCTGCTTAATAATTGCTTCTTGAATTTGTTGAATATTTAGACTTACATTGTTTAGGATTAATTTTTTGATGTTCTCATATTTGAAAAATGAGATTTAAAAATGTTTTCAGGAGATAGCTTTCATCTGAAATTTTTCTTAAGAGATACTTAGTAAAATAAAGTAGTTTAAGATTTGGATTACTTAAATATTGTCTTATAAAGCATTATTGTTTTATATATAAAGGAACAGAGGACCACAATTATGGTATTTTATTTGTCATGTCTGTAAATGTTGTTCCCATTGCATTCTCCAGGTATTCTTTCTGGTTTTTAAAATTATTAAAATAGGTCATCCATTCCCTTCACTAAGTGTGCACTCCTGGTAAAATTTTATGTGTTCTGTCAGCAATTTGATGTGATAAAGCAATGGTTTTTCTGTAGTTCACACAGCACTGGAACTCTGCAAAGCATCTCTGGGGCTTCTTTGATGTCTAGACAGTTTAAATTATGCCTGCTCCCCTGCCTCCAAATTCCACCCCTGTTCTGCTTCAGGGGTTGTGGGAAATGAAAACAAACCAGAAGGGTTCCACAACCCTGCAGTCTAGGGACAAAAACAAACAAGTAGAATAAGTTGTATATCTACCCTGGCAGGTGTATAGGAAAGGGCCCGATTATAGGGAATGGCAGAAAGAAAAGAATTGGGGCCAAATATTGTCCTGTTATTTATTTCTAATTAATATTCGTAACATGGACATACGTGTGCAATGTGAACAAAAGGAAAACATAGAAATATTAGGAAAGAAAGGAGAAGTCACCTTTTACCCCAGCCCATCAGTTTTTTCCTTCCCACTAGCAGCCAAATCTGAGAGTTTGGTGTGTTTCTTGTACATTTTCCTATTTATTGAAATGGTAAGATGCAGAATTGCATTTTAAGTTGGAAAACTAACTTTCTTTTCTTCCTTCCTTTTTTCTTTTTATAAATCGGGATATCATGATTCTTCCAATTCATCTTTTTAGAAAGTAAGTAACTTTTGAAATTTTAGAGATTTTTTTCTGTTAAAACATTGATGTTTTATTATTTCACATATACATATACACATATACATATTCTGTTACAGAATTTTTAACTTTTAAATTCTGACTGAGGTGATTAACTCTGGCATTGTGTGCACAAAATTTTTTTTAATTAATTAAAAATAAGAAACGTTACATAGACGGTGTTCACACTATTTGAGAATATGGACTTTTAGCACCTACTTGCCTCATCTTCTTTCATACTCACAGTTAATCATTGTATTTTATATATATATATCTCTTCCTTAAAACAGGCCAAGCCATGCTTGCTAGTTCCATTTTTTTTAATATAAAAGTAATAAAATATATAAATAAAACTTTTATTTATTCCTGTTGAATAGCAGTTAATTAAGACATTCATTTCTTCACAAGAAGCAGTCCAAATTTTCTAGACTTTGTGGAATTGTTGAAAATAATAGCAATAAGTAAACGGTATGAAAGATTTTTAAGATGCATTTTCCTATGTATATTCTGCATTGGATGAAACAGTTATCTTTTAATAAGCATTTAACTCTTTTGATGCTAATGTTTTATTGTTTTTAAATAAAATGGACCATATAATTAGTTTTTTTCTGTAAAGGAATGCAAGTGATATGCTTAAAACTAAGTGACTAATCAGCCAGTGATTTGAGTTGCAAAATTTGCATTTGATTGCAAAATATTTTCTAATTCTTCTGAAATGCAAATGTTGTATATTTTTGAAATAAACAAATTTTATGTTTGTTTTGGGAACGATATGTGAAAATTACATTAGGCATTGAGACTTTTGGAGATATATTGTCATGAGATTGTGAATTACATATTTTAAAATATTTCCATGGTAAATATTGAGTTTGAGTTAATAAAAAGTATAATTTAATAACGTATTCATACTCAACAGAGCTCATTATTTCTAAAACAATAAAGCTTATCACTTATGTTTGTAGCAAGCATGCATTAAACCCCTATTTAATAGTCCATTTATCTTCTACAATTATCTTTCATTTACTGTACCTTGGAAAGAAAATGTAAATTACAGTGATGTTAAATTATATTCGTTCAGTGTTTTTTAGTTATCTTTAAATCTGTATTAATATTCTAATTCTGAGTTCTTGGAATTGTGTGTATTAGAACGTTAGGAATAAAGAGCAAGAAAATGTGTGATGTTTGATGTTAGGTGGACAATTTTATTAAGTTACATTTTTTAAAGTCTACATGGTTTCATTTTTATGTATTCTATTTCACTTGTAGTGTTAACATCTTCTTGCCAAGTCCCTACAGAAAGCCTGTGTTTCTGACAGTTTCACTAAATTAAAATGCCACAAATCTGGCATAATAATTCCCAGCTTCAAATTGTCTGTGCTTTTGTCTGAAGAGAATAATGATAAAAATATATATTTTGCAGTGTTCAGTATAACATGCATAGCATTATTTATCTGGAATTTATTCATGGACAGATATTTCTGGGGAGATGAATATATTTTACTTTATAAGGTATGCCTGGCCCACTTTAAATATGAGCAAAAAATCTTTTGTGAGGAAAAATAGTGAAATGAAGTCTGTAAGCTGGTACAAGCCTCATGAGGAAAGATATTACATAAACACACAGCATTATTACCATGTGTACTTTAGTGTTCTGACTGCATTGTTCTATGACCAAATTTGTATTAGGGCTCTTACTTCCTGCCAAACCCAATGGAATCATATTGACGTGTTGGCACAGAGAAGTTGCTTCCTAAAATAATAAAGAGTGTTTTTATTATTGTAATACTTATAAACCTTTATAACCGTGATGTCTATATATGCTGACTTGCTATTAAGTGTGTTGTGGCAACTCAGCAAATTTGGCTTTTTCATTTTACTGGTGAGTTTTCATAGTAAGAGGTTTGATAATTTTGGTTTTTAGAAAACTTTTAATTTAGTAACATAAAATCATGTTTCTGTCACAGAAATTCAAACTTTGAAAGCTTAAAGACAAGATTCTCTTGTCCTGGAATATTTTGGATTAAATACCTAGAACCTCTAAGAGGTGAATGGGGTGGAGTAGGGCTTCTAATCAATATTGGTTCAACCAAATATTGATCGATCGTTTAGCATATTAGGAAGTAAAATGTATATGGAAATATAACTAAATGAAAGTAATAATTCTAGCTGTAAAGTCTAGTCTGCAAAAATATCAGTTTGCAAACAAAACACAAAAAATGTTCTAAAGTCTACCCCAGGACATACATCCATATTATACATTTCGTAAACATCTTTCTAAGTGTGTGAGTACATTTCAATAATGTTTGTACATATGTGCTTTGATATTTTTAATCATTAGTTTAATGCTGTTTGATTTCTTTAAAAAAAATCTGTTGATTTCATAATTCAGTCACTTGCGTCTTTACTACAGAACATAATTATTAGCTGGGCAGAATTCCCAAACACATATTTTTTATTTGACAAATCTGAGCAAAGGGTGTCATTGTAGAAGCTGTATCAGAGATATAAACATCGATAGAGATTTTTATTTGGCCTTGTGAGAAATGCAATACTGTGAGTAACTTAAAGACTTGTAATTTCAAATCAGTTCCTCCCTGGTTTCTTATTATTCTTTTGTTGCCTTTCAACCTATGGGATGGAGCTGTCCTTGAACTTGGTTTATTTGATCATTCAAGTGCAACCATCAAGTTGTCTGTAATATTTAAAAGCTGAGGCTTCATGGTGTTATTTGTAAAATAATACCACATAAACGTTTGGGCTTTGGTTTCTTTGAAATACAGTATTGGTTGCTTTATGAATAAAAGCATAATTTCAATTCAGGAGACTTTTTGCCTGAAGCCTACAAGACAGATGCATCTGATTAACTTTGGCGAAACTGGACTGGCCTGTTATTGTAATGTAGATGTTTTCGGGGTTGGGAGGATATTTTAAAAAGGCATGCAAGAGGGTCTTTTTTTTTTTTTTTTTTTAAGAGACTCAGAGAACAGTTTTGCTTACAGAAACTGCCTCCGACTGCTTCATTTTTGCGCACTTTTATTTTCTAGTGGAACTTCTCCATTAGCCTGTCTGAATGCAATGCTTCACACTAACACCCGAATAGGGGATGGAACATTCTTCAAAATCCCTGGAAAGTCAGGCCTCTATGCTCTCAAAGTAAGTTGTTCTGCATATTATGTCTGTTATTACTATGTGTCATGCATTTTTTCAGACATGTGAAGGTAAACAAAATTAGATTTGGATGAAGGGTAGAAGAGTGACCCCTATGCCTTTTAAATGTTTTCAGATGTCTTAAAAGTGATTTCATATTAAGAATAAACAATGACATTTTTCTTTAAGGAAAGCATATTTGTGGTTTTTCTCTAACATATGGTAATGGAAAATAGTTGTGGCTTCCTTAAAATTCTTGATTCTTAAAAATTTACATGGAGGAGTGCCATGGATCATCAGCCAAGAGCTTAAGATGAACACAGTTGCCATAAACTATTTGATTTAATGACCATCAGTTGATACAGGCTTCACACCTGTATTCCTTTCTGTCTTGTATAAAAATAAGAAATTTATCCACTCTCCTTGGAAACTTGTGATTTAAATCAGTTATTCAATTTTAAAACAAACAGTGATCTCAAGGAAGTTTTACTAATAATACAATCTTGTTATATGAGAAGAATAGAGAAATAACAAACTTCAGAGAACTGAGTCTTAATTATTTTAGTTTAATTTCCATTCCCGTCTGGAATGGGAAATGCCATCTAACATGCAAAATTCCAGAAGACAAAAGCTGGTGATCTACAAATGGTTGTGTAACTTGGAACAAGTAAAATCAGTGTATTATTTCTTTTTAATTGAAAAGAAGTCGCCGCTTTAATAAATGATGAATTACATTCAAAGTTCATTAATTTCCTCTGAGAAGATTTTTTTTTAACGCTAAAAGTTATACCCGGCAAAGAAGCTGGGGTTCTTTCTCAGCTACTGAGCATCAAGCTCTTGTCACTGTGTGTGTTTCAGAAAATAACACAGGTTAACCAAAAGGACTTGTATTAGTCAGTTGCTTTCTGTAGCTACTTGGGTGTTTAATTCACTGATTAAAATTCTGAGTTGTTAAGCAATTTCCTAACATAAGGAAGAATGTAGAATTGAAAAACGTGGAAACAACATATGTCAAAAGCAAACTTTGTTTTTGTTTATATTTTAAAAGGTTATCCAAAAAATCAGTTGTGGCAATGTGCTTTTCCCAGTTTTTTTTTTTCTTTCAAAGAGTGATTTTACATTAAAAAGTAAATCAGTATTGAAATTCCAAATCACAAGTAACTGTGATAATACTTTAGGACTGAAAGTATTTTGAATGTTTTCCAGTTACTAATACATCTCCATAAATCATCATTTTTAAAAATAATATAGAAAGAGGAGTCGTCATGCCCAGCTGATGGAACATTGGATTTAGGCTGTGAGTCTGAATTAGATGGCGCAGAAATGGCGGAGGCCAATGCCAATGGAGAAGGAAATGGAGGTAAGTGTGTAAATTTCAAGATATAAACCCTCTTCTCTTAAAAGTTATGTAGAATTCCAATAATTCACTAATTGAATTCCCTACCATTGTAGATATAATTTTCTTCTAAGTTTTTTACCACTTACTTAGGTTTATCATCAAATCATTTTGATTCAAAAAGTTAGAACCTACAAAAAGTGTATAGTTCTTTGCTTTCCGTTTTTTTAACAGTATGGATTTCCCTGAATAACATTCTTGAGTTTTATCAGTATGTTTCTCCTGTAAGGTGAGAGGGTTACTGGGGATGTCTAGTGCTTTTATTCTCACGTGAGGACTGAGAATGCTAATGTTTTATTTCTGATTGTGCTGATTTTTCCTGTGATCACAAGTACTTTTATGATAGCTTTGTTCCTTGGTTTGCCCTTAGTAAATTAAGCTTAGTGTTAACATTCTTCACAGTGAAACAAGGGTCAAATAAGTTACATTCTTGTGACACTTTTGAAAAGTGAGTGACCCTTCCAGAATTCAGGGGGGGACATTTTTCACCTCTGAATTCTAACCATGTTAATTCATTTTTATCTTTCTCAAGACATTTGCATTATGATCCTGTTGGTGTATGTAATTTTTATACTGTGGTTTTGGCAAATATTTGTTCCACAAAAACTGCTATATTTTTTTCCACGCTACCCACTGGTCCCACAAGTGACCCAGATCATGATTGGGGAGGAAGACTATGTCAGTAAAGTCTCTGTCCCTGGACTCATAGAAATCAGTAAATTATCTTTAAGCAAACAAACCTTAAAGGATCCTTGCAGAAATATCGTATTTCAGTAATAGCCCAAAGCCATTCATTTTATTAATGGCCAGAGGAGTCCCTTTGTATTCTGACTGGACACTCCTGCCCTTTAAGCTGGTGTGCTTTCTGATAGTCCCCTTGAGACTGACTCTCCTTCAGCCCCTATCTGATCTACAGCAGAGGTTGTGAATTAACGTAGGAAACACAGATTCTTGTCTTAGTAAAACGGCTGAAGTCAGCTTTGTAGACTTCTTTTTTCTTTTTTCACCAACTTTCATTTAATTTGATATCCCTTTTCCCATATGTTTTGAAAACTCAAGTCAACTCCTCACCAATGTTGAGGTATTACTGTGACCTTTGGCAAGTCCTGGTGGTTAGAGAGAGAACAAGGCAGAGATGCACGGCAATTTCTGGCTTTCTAGAAGGGCTGGTGAGTGGGGCAAACTCTTCTCCTTCAGTAGGATGAAGGGGAATCTTACTGAGTCATTCCTCTTGTACTGCCTGCTTGGATGAGCACTTGCATACTCTCTCTCTGTCACGCATCTATTGGGCTTCTACTATGTGCCAAGTGCTGTTCTCGAGATTGCAGTTACAGTGGTGAAAACAAGAACAAAAAGGGACCTCTCATGGATCTTTCGTTGGTAGAGAGACAGACAATAAACAAAATAAATATGTAAAATTTATAGCTTATTCAGTGCTGACAAGTGATATGGGGCAAAATAAATAAGAAGATAAGAGTGGGAGAGAGGGATACATTTGAAAAAAAGACCCAAGGAGAGTGAGGGAGCAGGTATTTAATGGGAGAGAGTTATAGGTAGAAGCGGTAGCAATTACAAAGGCCTTGAGGCAAGAGAGTGCCTGGAATGTTCTAGAAAGATCAAGAGGCCAGTGTAGTTGGAAGCCAGAGTCAACAAGGGAGAGAGTATGGTAAGACAGGAAGTCAGAGAAGTTATGGGGCCGGGTTGTATAGTGCCTTGATACTGGCTTTTGTTTTGAGTGAGATGTTAAACCATTGTAGGATTTTGAGCTAGAGGGACAATGATCTCATTTAGATTTTAGCAGGATCACTAAGTACAAGAAATATATATAGGGAGACAAGGACAAAAACAGGGAGGCCAGTTAGAAAGCTATTGCCACGGCCTAGATAAGAGGCGATGGTGAGTTGAAGACACGTGGATGTGGTGAAAAGTGATTGGATTCTGGATATACATGAAGGTAGAGCCAATAGGACCTGCTGAAATTAGTGTGGTTTTGAAATAAAGAAAGGAGTTGGAGAGGACTGCAAAGTTTGAGTGTGAGCAAATAGAAGAGTAGCATTGTCTTTAACTTAGGTGGAAAATCTGCAAGAGAATCAATTTGGGGCGGGAGCTTAGTTTTGGACATATTAAGTGTGAGATCCATTCTCAACATCCAGATGGTTATGTTAAATAATTGGACTTACCTGTCTTAAATTCATGGGAAAGAACTTGCTAGAGATATACAGTTGGAAGTGGTCAGTTTGCAGGTGATATTTAAAGACAAGAAACTGGATGAGAAAGCCAAGGAACCGAAGGTAAATAGAAGAGGCCCAAAAACTGGGCTTAGGACTGCCTGAATTGTAAGAGGTTGGAGAGATTATAGGAACCAGCAAGTGAGACTGAGGATAGATGGACAGGAGAAGGTGTTGTCTGTCCTGGAAACCAAGTGGAGGAAGTGTTTCTGGGGAGAAAGTGACTCAAACGTGTCAAATCCTTTTGATATGTCAACTTATAATGAAGACTAAGAAATAACCATTGCATTTAGCTTTGTAAGGTTATTGATGAACTTTGACAATGATAATTTTTGTTGAATGGTGAGACCATAAGTCTGACTGGAGCGAGTTCAAGTGAATGGGAGGACAGGGGGCCAGCCCAGTGGCGCAGTGGTTAAGTTTGTGCGCTCTGCTTTGGCGGCCCAGGGTTCACAGTTTTGGATCCTGGGCGTGGACCAACGCACCGCTTGTCAAGCCATCCTGTGGTGGCGTCCCATATAAAGTAGAGGAAGATGGGCTCAGGTGTTAGCCCAGGGCCAATCTTCCTCAGCAAAAAGAGGAGGATTGGCAACAGATGTTAGCTCAGGGCTAATCTTCCTCACACAAAAAAAAAGAGGAAGAAAAAAAGAAAAAGAGAATGAGAGGACAGAAATTGGAGACCCCAAGTGTAGACAATTCTTTTAAGGCTTGTTAAGGTAAAGGGAAGGAGTGAAATAAGAAAATGGCTAGAAGGGAAAATGGAATCAAGCGAACGGTTTTTTAAAATATGAGAGATAATATTAGAATAATTATATACTGATGGGAAAAATCCAGTTGAGGTGAAGAATTTGATAATGAGGAGGATGTCCTGTTGTCATGTACTTGATTAGATGAGAGGGAATGGGATCTATTAAACAGATGAAGAGATTGGCCTTAGTAGTATATAGACAGGTGCTCTAGGAAGCAGTAGGAAAAGTCAGGGTATTTGGATAGAAATGAAGGTAGGTGAGTACATGTGGGAAGGGCTTGTGAAAGTTTGCTTCTTATTGCTTCATTTTTCTCTGAAATAGGAAACAAATTCATCAGCTGAGGGTGAGGATAGGGGAGGTAGTTTTGTAGATTTAAGGAGAAGATATAAAATGTTTGTCTAGAATCTGACAGGATTAAGAAACTGTTAAGATTGCTAATCCTGAATTTAATGAGACCAGTCAGCTTGGTTGTACATTTTTCTCCAGTCGTGTTCATGACCAGTTTATAAGTTCGGAGTGAGTACAGAGTTGGATTTGACCAGAGTTAGGATTTTGCCAGGTGTGAATGATGAAGCAAGAGGGGGACAAGGGAGTTGAGGGTGCATGAAATGGAGTCAAGATCAATCTCCATGGAATTTAAGCTGGTTGTGGAAGTGAGTGAAGACATGATTGTGTGAGGGGTGGTGTGAAGGAGGAAGTCTCCTTGGGGTGCAAGGATTGTTTGATTTGGTGTTCTAGAGGAAATGAGTTAGAAGGATAGGTAACGTGAGAGTGGAATGCATGAAACTGAGTTTAGGGTAGTATTATGGAATGTATGCTTGTGGTGACAGGAAAGAAGGAGGCTAGGTTTCAGGCTGTCATGAATGATTATGCAGTGTGTTCACTCTTCTAAGAGGCCTGGCTGAGGCAGCCATCAGTGATGAAATTCAGCAGCCCTCCATCAGCTTAGTGTGATGAGATGGAGCAGGGTTCTACCTGGAGGAATTGTTGCCATTTCTTATTTGCACAAAGATGTTGTAAAAGATGGTGGTGGTCCTGACGTAAAATATTAAAGATTCATCTATGTGGATATTGAAACAGATAATTATGATAGAACTAACATTGAAAGGTATGACACTTAGGAGCTAAAATCTTCAATAAATGGAGAGGGGTAACCCAGGAGTTGGTAAATAAGTAGAGTAAGGAGGAATAATTGGTACTATAGTCTGATGACATGAAATACGTTGGAGGCATCTAAGGAACAGGGAGGGAGAATAGAGGTCACTTCTCCCATTTCCAGGCCCAGTGGTACAAGATATGAGGGAAAGAAAAGGGCTACTACCTAAAAGTGTTCGAAGGGAAGTAGTGTCCATAGGAGAGAGCCAGGTTTTGTAGATCAAGATGTGAAGGGAGTGTTCAGAGAAAGGGTAGAGGTTATGGGAGATTTTGCTAATGACTAATCCTGAATTTCAGAGGAAACAGTGGGAAGGTTTTAATGGCTGGGAAGGGGTGGCGGAAGGGTGAGAGCAGTCAGCCATAATTAAACCAAAACAGGGATAAGCAAACTCCCCTAATTTGAAATGTGAATAAGTACTTCACAAAATAACACATACCCACACATCTCCAGCTAATGTGATCAAGACTAGATTTCCTGGCCTCTCCTTTGAAGTTGCATTAGGAAAATTGCTTTGGGGAATCACTGAAAGAATAGTAAATAGCTTATTTCCTTGAGTATTCCTTGACTTGCCCACTTTTGCATCTTATTGCCAACCACAATTGCTTCTTGTAGGATGAGTATATTTCCTATTCATGTAAATACCGTATACTTCTGCGTATAGCCCATTCACGTAGCCTTAGGGTACATTTTCAAACCTAGATATTGAAAATATATTTCGTGCTTACAGCTCCCAGCCTTTGTGACCCGTTTACAAGTATATTGTTTTATTCCTCACAACATTCCTGTGAGACAATCTTCCTAGGCTCTGTTATTTTTCTATTTTTTTATTTT